GAGAGAGAGAGAGAGAGAGAGAGACAGAGAGAGAATTAAAGAGATAAACCCACACGCACAGCAATAGAAAGAAAAAAAACCCGTAAGAGGCAAACGAGAAAACGAGAAAAGCAATCATTCAATCATATTGTATTGTGCTATTCATCCCGACAGCTCGGCGAAGCCTCCCTCCCTCCCGTTGTAAAGTATTTGCCGTGAATGTGCCGGGGAGTAGAGGTGGGCAAAATCCGGATACGGATAACCGGATAATTCTGAATAAACCATTATCCAAATTCAGACTCTTGATTCCTTTTTTCAGACCCGTTTGACGAAGTGACCCAACTTGTTTGTCGAAGCTGTTTTAACCCATAATTTGCCGAATCGGTTCATAATATATTATTTGCCGAAATGGTGCACTGACATATTATCCGGATTTTGCTGAAGCGACTCATTGCCCAGCCTTACCGGGGAGTGAGAGCCAGGCAATCACAGCAACATTGGGGCCTGTTGTCCAATGACATGCTCTGGGCGCTGCAACAGATGGCTTCTGTCTCTAATTATCCCAGAAGCCCCCACTGTTTCTAATCCCCGAGAGCTTTCGCGCACTCCGACACAAGCATGATGATTAAAATCTTGACAGCTTCGCTCCGGGGGAAAGAAAAGTGTAGAAATTCACGGAAGGCGTTCATCCAATTGTGAAACGTTCTCCAAATTCGGAGGTTTTGGATACTTTGACAATCTACTCCCGTATCTGCCCGCGACAACAGAAGAGAGAAAAGGTAAGACAAAGTGGGGTAAAAAAAATCCCATAAAACATGTAAATGTGATATTCGATTTGGATTTTCTACCGACCCATCTCCTTCCCCTGGCTCTCTGTAGTAATGGTTTTCAATGGCGTTCGTTTATCCTTTATAGAGAAATCACATTGCTTTCTTCTAACAGTCCTATTACCGAGTGACCAGACAAGAGAAAAAGAGAGAGAGAGAGAGAGAGAGAGAGAGAGAGAGAGAGAGAAGAGAAAGAAAGTATAGCAAACTGGATAGTTCATGATACACCACCTGGAACAACAACAAAAAGCGACGGACATTTATAGACCTATTTGTTGGAGCGTTTGTGAGAAATGTGAGAAATAAGGGCGTTGTGAGGGTGTCTCAGATGCCAGTAGAATTCTCCCAGAGCACCGGGCGTCAATGCAAGCAGCACTTAGTGGGTCTCATGTGTCATATTGAGCGGCCGAGTCTGCCAGTGGCGTTTGGCTTCAGGCTACCTCAGTGTTACAAAGTTCTATCTGCTCAATACTTAGTTTTGAGAAATTTGACGTAAAAAAATGTTGAGTTTCTCAACATTTCAAGCTTTATGGAATGCACTTTAAAAAATATCTTGAGAACGACTCAGAATAATCCTACGACTTTGATAGAGCAGATAGAGCATATGATTTCTGACCTCATGGTCTCAGTAACTCAAAACGGTCAAAAATGTCAGATAGAACTTTGTAATTCTGGGGTAGCGCTCTGTCAACAATCCTCGCCTTCCGCCGAGTGTTGGCCACTCCGAAGAATTAATGGGCGAAGGGACAAATTTCGTGTGGCGACTGGCCGTCATTGTGGTCAGTATTTGTCCAGTGGGCCAACGACTATTTACCCGCGTCGACTCGCAATTACTGGGGTGTGGGGGAGACGGAGAGACTGAAAAAAGCCCACGAGGGTTGTTGGGTGGGTGGGGGTGTGGTGTGGTGTGGTGTGGGTGTGGTGTGGTGGGGGTATGGTGTGGTGGGTGGGTGGGGGTGTGGTGTGGTGGGGGTATGGGGTGTGATCGACTAGACCCGAGGGTTTTTGGTTTGGGTGTGTGTGCTTGTGTGTGTGTGTATGTACTTGTGTGTGTGTGTGTGTGTGTGTGTGTGTGTGTGTGTGAGTGTGCTTTTGTGTGTGTGTATGTGTGTGTGTGTGTGTGAGTATGTGTGTGCGCGTGCTTGCGTGTGTATGAGTGTGTGTGAGTGCGTATATATGTGTGTGTGTTTGTGTGTGTATGTGTGTGTTATAGAGAAGATAGATAGATAGATAGATAGATAGACAGACAGACAGACAGACAG